CCGTTTGGCCTTGCGAAGCAAAATAAAAATCAACAACAACAAACAACAACAACAAAGCTTGACAAGTGATTTTATTTCAAAGCAGGTCAATACTTCCTCCGCCTCAGGAGGAAAGTCAGCTTCTAGTGACTCAAAGCACTCGTCTCCCAGCCGGGAGAATTCAAATACAGTACATTATTTTTATTATACGCATTCCCGCGGCAGCGTCAACCAAGCACTGCAGTTATGCTTGATCCACACGTTCGCTTATTATTATGCTGGACATTGAAACAAAGCAGATGTAGACAGCTCCTAGAGAATGGGGCTCTACAAAACCAATGATCGAAGTTAGTCCTTCAGTAACATAGAGCGTCATAAAATTGGTCTCATTGGAAAAAAATGTCATCACTATTGTCTCCTCATGTAGCATCATGGTCAATGGGTGGCCAGATAATTATACGTATGAGGTTGAGTTGCAGAACTAAATATTGCGACAGAGCTTTCGGCCATATTTTCAATTCATTGCATTCCCAACTCCTCACAACCACGCGCTCTTCAGCCGAACCATACAGACACCAGCAAGGACACTTCCGTTGAGAGATAATATTCCTCCACGCCTCTAGACAGCTGTTTCGCTCCCTGTCGGAGCTCATCAGTAGAGGATGATAATGATAATGGAGAAATGATCATTCTTATACACCAGAAATGGCGCAAGTGCGCGCTTTCCACATAATATCAATGGCATATGCAAGCTGAAAGGTTGAGTTGCCAGATAATTATTAAAAGATTCAAATAGTAATATTATTATACAGTAGAATGGTTGTGTAAAAGAGTTTATAAGGGTGCCATGGCTGTTTCTACTCGTGACGAGGGTGTGCACAAACATTCTTCACCAGCGCGTTCCATGCTGGACGGTCCACAGCAATCCGCTCCAGACGGCGCAAGTCCTCAACACTCCGCAGGTGCCCATTGTTCGACTGGGACAGATCGGCGCGGAGCTTTATTGGTAGTGTCACCCTCGGCCTCCCACGGTACCTCCCCTCGGGTGCCTGAAAGTATTGCTCCATGCTCAATCGTGCTGGCGTGTCAACCCAGGCGAAGCACATGTCCGAATAGACTCCAGCGTGAATTTCGGATCAAGTCCGACACTGGCTCCACTCCACATCGGGCATACAACGCCAAATTACTAATCTTCTGTGGCCATGTGATGCCGAGAAGTGACCTGAAAGCGTCCAGGGAGCGTTCGCTAGCAACCGTCAGGCCCCAGGTGCCTGAATTATAGAGAAGTATCGGCATGATAAAGGCGCAGTACAACCTCATACGCAGAGGCTCTCGGATCAGTCCTCGGCGCTTCCAAAGAGATCACATGGATCGGAAGGCAGCCTCGGCCTGCGACGTGTCACATCCTCAATGTCGCCCAGGAGTGAGCCCAGCTTTCGGGATGTCCTCCAGCGCTCGTCAATTCTGTCTACAGATCGACCCAGCTTTGTCCACTCAGTTTTGGTGTTGTTGACTCTCAGGGCCCACTGCCCGAGAGTGTGGTCTATGACCGGTTCGAGCTCTGTGAGCCATTGACGACTAAGGCTTATGAAATCGGTGTCATCTGCGTAGACAAGCTCAAATGGAATGTTGATGCTTTGATCCATGGGCGGTCTGTTTCGTGCCACCTGGGTGCTCCTCAGATCTCTCAGTGCTGCCTCTTAGTATAACAAACAACACCGGGGAGAGAGAATCACCCTGCGGGGTGCCAATTGTAGTTTCAAGGGACTCTGATACTGCCCTACCGATGCGTACCTGCAGAGTTGTGTTGGTCAACAGCACTAACACAGTACATGTACGAGGTATATGGCTGGCATCAGCGACATGTTTTCGGTGCAACTGTTATGCCGTGAAACTGCTATTCTGTGAACCGAAATCCCGTGAACATGCAGTCGATGAACCTGTTTTCTGTCAACCTGATTTTCGGGCGAAGTGAACAGTCGCTAAATCTGACACTCTGTGAAATGTCTTTCGGTGAAACACATCGTTCTGTGAACGCGTTTTGGGTGAACCGTCGGGATACCGAAAAAGTCCCTGAAAAGTCGAATTTGTAAATTCATATCGAGTGCTACATCAGTTGAAAGAGCATGAACAGCTGCAAAATCTCTGAAAGTGTTGTCTCGATCTGACCAGCCGTTCAAGAGTTATGGCTGAAAATGTGCCCTTGCAAGGAAAGATTTCAAGTTTTGTTGCAGGCTGTCATTTTTTGGCAGCACTGTATTTGAATGTGAGCAGACCGTGCGCAACTTGTCGTATCATGGAAACAAGCGAAAATGTGCAGTCCAAAAATCACGTTTTTTAGCCACGTAGCAGGACTTTTGCCAGCACCCTCGTGACGTTGCAGATATGTGGCTTGATTATTGTAGTTGACGTTGATTTAGTGACTTTGGCAAGTTTGAGTCGTGTCAAGAATTAAGTCAGGTAGGATTCAGTACTAGGCAGCAGTGGAATGTGAGTGGTATTTTTTGCCGATTTTTGAGGGTATCCTGGATTTGGTTTGCAGCGCTGTGGAAATGGCTTGCTGTGGAGGTCCCAGCACTGGATGTTGCATCAAAGGTACGACCTCGTAGCACGCCCTTAACCTAAACAAATTCAAAAATAATTAATTGACTTGGGTCTGTGGGAGTGTGTGAGAGAACGCCCACTCGTGCCATTGTGACAGATTCCAGGGCCACGTTGAGGGGCCCTATCCCACCACCCATGACTGCTTCTGGACTTATTTTTTGGTTTGGATCCCGCGCACGGACAGAATGGGCAAGAAAATGTGAAAAAGTTGTAAAATGCATTTGATTGGCTCCTGGGTGGCTCGCACACCGTGGCAATATGCCGGAATTTTGAGTTTTTCCGGCCCGGAAAACCTGCCAGTGAGGCGCAAGAACTTTTTAATCATGTCCAGAGGGCCAGCATAGTGGCAGGAGTGTGTGGTGAAAATTTCAATCCAATACATTGAGAGACACCAAATTAGGGAGGGCCCGAATATGCTTGCGCATACCGTAAAATCCCGCCAGAGCGCCCCGTCTCTCCCATCCGCCCCTCCCTGACTTCTTGTCAGGGACGTGATTGATTGTATCCTCGTATGACTCTGTCGCAGTCTGTGATGCCGTACTGCACTGCAGACGCGTGCTCGACCCGTTGGAAATGTACGCAACAGTGCACCCTCCTGACCAGGGATCGCACAAACCCTGCGTTTTGTCGGGTCTGCACGACTCCTGGCTCTTGACCTTTGGTCGGTGTACGAGATGCACGAACAGTTTTCGTAGTGTGAGAACTTTTTCATGTAGCACTGAATGCGGCAAGTAGGACTCGCCCATCCGCCCCTCCCCACCTGAAGCGTCGAGGAGGTAGGGGCGCTCTGGCGGGATTTTACGGTATTTTCGCACATTGCTCAAACAACATGGGGCGAAATTATTACCCGAGAAGAGAGTGTCCGCGACTCAAGGTCGCATAAAGTAGCAAATCTAGCATATTGTACCAAATGTAGCATATTTTGCTACAAGGAGCAAAGAATTCGCATAATTATCACTGATATCAGTTCATATTTCGAGCATATTTGAGCATATTTTTCTGCTTTTGTGTGATTTTGAAGCATATTTTGAAGCAAGTGGCCAATATGCGAAAAGCATAATATACGAAATTTTTGAGCATATTTGGGCCCTCCCTCCACCAAATTTACGGTCAATTGAATGGCATATGAAATTTACGACCAGGCTGCTACCTTAATTGGATGTGGTCTTCCTCTCTGCTTTGATAATTATGATCGGTCAAAACCTAGGCTTCAACAGCATTCGTTTTGACAAGCTGTGTGAGAATACTAGAGAGGTTCCGGGGTACGATTTTCCGTGCCAAAATCCATATGTGCGGTACGGATTTTTTCCAGGCGTGCTCCATACGATTTTTCGGCACGGACAATCCGTGTAGACTGGCTTTCATACGAACCAGGGAGTCGTAAAATACCGGTATTTTACGACTCCCTGATACGAACCATGTTTCGTATGGAGATTTTGCGTCATCGGGTGCAGAAAGATTTTTCGCGTACAAATTTGGAACGAGAAACATCGATTTTCCGCGGGAAGTTTTGATTTTGGTACAAATTTTCAAAATAATAAGGCATAGCGTGGGAATGTGACGTGTTTGCGATCGTAACCTAGGCAATGACGGCAAACACATAAGTTCCGTACTCCGGAACATTTCACTGCTCGAAAACGACGTATAAAAAATCCGTAGCGCCTCTACGGATTTTGGCAAGAAAAATCGTACTCCGGAACCTCCCTACAAACTTAACTGGGAACGTCATCTGCTGGATTGTAGCAGCCGCCACAGAATGCATGCAAATGCACTATCAGCTATTTCTTTTTAGGTCTCATCAGTCAGCAGAGTGTGGATAAAGGTCTCATCAGCAGAGTGTGGATAAGGAGGCCTTGGTGGAAAATAGAAGAAAGGCATTCGAGGTGGTAAGCTGGTTCCCATAACTCTGCGAAACACTCCATCACTCCACACTACTCCATTGGAGCACATTCACAAGTCATCATTTAGCGAGAAAATCAGTCTTTGGTTAGATGTTGGATATCCTCCCTACAGCTGTTTTCCTCACAAGCAGGGAGTCGTCAAATACCGGTATTTGACGACTCTCTGCTCATAACTGTACTCTCGCTGTGTACTACAGTGCTGGAAACTGAAATCCGACCCCCCTGAGCGGTGCGCTCACACGATCACATCGCAAAGAATGTGAACCTACCGGTCAGGGGGTCGGATTTCAGTTGCCAGCACTGTACATGTACAGTGGAACCTGTCTAAGACGACCGCTCATGGGACCTTCAGAGCGTGGTCTCTGTTACCAGGTGGTCTCCTTATACAGGGTCAATTGACTTGAAATAGCATCACTTGGCCCTGGTTTCAGTGGTCTTCTAGGGCAGGTGGTCGCCTTATCCGAGTGGTCGCCTTGACAGGTTTTACTGTATATTCATGTTGTTTTGTGTGTGCAGAATGCCAGCCCGATTCGTGCAGCGGAAACGGTGAATGTTTAGATGACAGCTTCGGCCTGTCCTCATCATTTACGTGCCTGTGTAACTTTGAATATATGGGAATGTATTGCAGCGAGAAGATCGAAGGTGAGGGACGTGCGTGAAACGCATTTAACATTATTATTGTGCGGTATTGAGTGCCAAGGTGGAAGATGCAAAATACCGGCTTTAGATGGTCAGATCATCACTCATGCACATACAGTAAAATCTGCCAAGGCGACCACTCGGATAAGGCGACCACTCGGATAAGGCGACCACTCGGATAAGGCGACCACTCGGATAAGGTGACCACATGTCCCAGAAGATCATTCCAACCAGGACAAATGGATGCTCTGTCCAGTCAAACGACCCTGGGTGGAAGTAGACCACCAACAAACATGCATAGAACAAACATGCATAGAACAAACACGTGTAGAACAAACACGCATAGCACAAACATGCGTAGAACATATCAGGAAAGTAACATATTCTGCCAATTGTTCTGCCAGCAAATATCCGCCAAGGGCTCAGTTTCTGTGCCGGAACCGGTGTATATTTCACATACGCAATGCATGTGTTTTGCGATTGCACGCCCTTTAAAAGCTTTGTCGTTTCCCGTCTGTATCAGATAACGTGGACAAGGTTCTCGACCACTCCGACTCGTCGAACATAGTTCTCATTGCGGCGCTCGCTGGTGGCGTTGGAGGGTCGTTGCTGCTCATTTTGCTGCCCATCTCCATCTGTATCTGTGTCAGGCTGCGACGCAGACGTGCTGTCACGGGCAACAGGACATACACGCGCATGGTCATACACGCCGAGCAAGTGCATGCAGCGGATAGGCCGAGCAGCAGCAGCGGCGGCAGCAGCGGCAGCAGCAGCACAAATCAGGCTGGTTCGCGTACTACCACCTACTGTACCGGTGCTGGTGTGTCCGCACCTGGCGCTGTGCATAACGGTAGTCAAGGCAACGGTACCGCTAGCGATGAGGATGTGCGCCGCTGGAGTACCAACAACCCAGCCACTGCAGCGACCGTCAGAGCCAATGATGCTAGCACCTGTGCTGGACACGTCGGCACCTTGGAACAGCCTCCCGCCTACAGCGGATTTGCGGGAGCAGGGGCCGGTGGGTTCTCAAGCGTATCTGACGCTGGCTCGTGTGCCGTTGATGTAGGACTATTGGCTGGTGCAGGCTACTCAGGAGGCTTTGCTGGACAAGCTGGTGGGTTCAGCGGTGCTGGTGTTGGTGTGGCTACCTATGGCGGTAAGGATGGAGCCGGTGCGTTCATCGCTTAGTCGTGCCAAGCCGGGATTATTGGCATGCACACACACACACACATACGTACCGGGGCGTGCACACGCACGCACACCCGCGGATATGCACACGCACACACGCACACACACACACACACACACACACACACACACACACACACACACACACACACACACACACACACACACACACACACACACACACACACGTCCAGTACCTGCCAACATGATGTAGTTTGGGTATAGTGCCCCTGGAGGATGGCTTCAATTCAGTTGCCTGCCGCGGTGTAAAACTTAGAAGTCACTGAAACTCAGTTTTATTCTCTCTTCTCCCTTTGCTAATGATAGCAGCACAGCAAATTCGCCGCCGATGCAAACGTATTCGCTGGATGTGTTCCTAAACACCCCAGGTGATGCGGCCGCCAATCCGGCTGACTATAAATACTTTTTTACAGCAAATCTACAACCATCTGACTTGGATTGGTTATGCTTCTATCATTAATTGCCTTCTCTCCTCGGATTATAATTCTCTCCGTACGTACGTGCAATCATCGTGTATGTACTCACAAGTAACGTCACTGGTCACAGGCAGTGTGTGATCCTCTCCAAAATCTTTTTATGGTTTCTTTGCACCAAAGTAATTAGTTACCGCACAGTTGCAACTGCAACCACCTCTATCATGCAGTGTTCTGTTCTCGAGGTTCGTGGTTTCTCGTAAAAAAAAGAGAATGATCACTATCTCATCACGTTCCCATGTCACGTGACACCGCATGCAAAGTAAGTACTCGGGTAGTTTACTTAATGCTTTCACGTGATTAGCAAGTTTGTGGATAAAGCCGTCGTCACCAGTGTGTAGCAGTACTTGTTTCCAAGCCAGCACATTATTCATTTCGATGAAAAGAGGAGCCAGAAGAGGAGAAGAAAGCTCTTTGGTTCATGTAAGTCACTGACCGGATACGCTCGCTCTTCAAGTGAAGTCCGATTTCTGGTCAAAAAGCGTAATTTATAATATATATCTATAACAGGTGATTCTTATCCAAGCTGCTGGACGATTGCTGTATGAACTAGCAGTAGAAGTATTGGCCATCGTGCCAGCACGTTTGGATATCTCTCTGAAGCATACATTTCCCGGTTTCGCGGCCGTCACATCGCAAAAAAATGCTTCTGTGAATCCCGCTTAACTCTTTCTCATGTGTTTTCTTCTCTTTTTTTGCATTTATTACTGGCTCAGTATCCGAGTTCAAAAAAAGCTGTTCAATGTAGTGACAAGTATATTTGTGGAAAAACTGGAAAATGCATTCGCACAAACGGTAAAGGGTTTATGATTAGCCTGATATTTGTTCACTTCTAAGTGTGCTAGCAACTTGGTTTCGGGGGAAACCATCCTAGAATGTCAGCAAGTTTGCAGCGAGCAAGCACCTTGGTCAGTAACAAATTTTCTTAATTTTAAATGCAGTTCTTAATCATGCTGATGTACCGCCAGATTGATTTACGAGTGTTCGGTACCGCCCCATCAATGTGAATCGATAAATAAATCATTCGGTCAGACCCACCGCTGTGAGCCCATCGTAATTATTGGGTAGAGAGTTAGTCAGAGAGAAATATTTCTAGCTATTTCTTTTACGACACATGGACGCGTGATTCTGATAAGACATTTTGTGCAATTAGATCGCAAGGCGCTGAAGAAAACATAATTTATTACTGCCGACGGTACCATTCTTGAATGGACTCGGATGGAGAGCCAAGGATAATTTTATAGTAAAGAAAAAGACCAACCAGTTAGTTGTAGAATATCAGTACCGTCGGTCAGTGTCGTGCAATGTTATCGCACGAGCTGATTGTTAAGTAACTGGTGGTGTTAGTCGACATTATAGCGTAAGTTGTGGTTTCTTGGTATTTTTTCTTTACTATAAAAATTAATTACATTTCTTGAATGTTTTTCATTAGTACATCGTAGCTTCCTGAGGTGTGTTGTGCGAAAACTAGTTGGAAGTATGATGAGCATCAAGACAGTAAAGACAATGCATGTACCAGTCCACTGTTAGGCCCGTGGTTACCTGGTTACCTGGTGACGCATGGTTACGCTGGAATAGTATGCCAATCAATGGCATTGTGCGTGTGTACGCAAGCACACACATACACAGACACACGCACAGCCACATTCACCGATGAACACGCGTGCACACACACAAGAAATCACAGGAGAGAATGGATTGGCTTGCGGTGGCGAAAGTTGGTCAGAGATCGGAATAAGATGGTAATTGGAACAGATACGGCTGTGGAATGGAAATCACTCTAAGCCGGAATGGCTGTTGAATGGAATTAATTCCAAGACGGAACGTTGTTCAAAATCATTGGAGACATACCGGGCCTGGTGACTTTAGGAGTAAAAAACCCCATAAAAGTTGAAAAGTGTGATAGCTGGAGGTATCTAACAACATGAAACTGGCGGGAAAACCGGATACAGATATACACGAGCAGTCGAGACTTGGAACAAATGGGGAAATGAATCGCGTTGCATTGTCAGCCAGCACAATCCGAGAAGACATTGTGGATTGAGAAAGAGAGAGGGCTTTTTAGTCCCGCAGATGACACGCCAAACAAAGAACAGCGGCAAAGAGTGTATCGAGTGCATGCAGGCAAAGCAAGAAATTCAGCTACCGCAGCTTGGCATTGGTGAATCAGAAAGACGGTATACACAGCCAAGAAATCAGCCAATGAAAGTTTTAGCATGGATTATGCAACCCCCAAAGTGGGGGGGGGGGGGGGGGGATTGCGTGCTACCAGACAAACTAATTACGCAGAACATGATGCCTAGACTATAGCAATCAGCAAGGGGGTCAAAAATAGGAACAGGGAGACGTCAAAACCATTCAGAGGTTCAAAGAGAGAACAGGGACGAAGAATTCGAGTACATGCTGTGTATATAGAAGAATACAAATGCAAACAGCGCTACATGGACCGCTACTTGGTAAGAGTCTGGCAGTTCATACTGAAGAGTAGTATTGGAGACTGCGCTACATGGACTGCTACTTGGATGTGTCCGGTGAAATGAACATAAGACTGACATGTGATTGGCAAGCGGCTATATGACACAATGGCGAATAGTAAGGAGATGGAGATGTGGTGGTGCAGAATGCAGAGACAGCCACGGAGGATGTATTGGAGTGGTGATGCAAAACGTAGCTGCATTCACTCGTTCCTCCAGCACCGAAATGGATGAGCTACAACCTGTAGACAAAGGAAAAAACATGGAAAAACAGTTAAAACACAAATATGGAATGTGAGATTTTTAGAAGGAATGGGGAAGAGAGAGAGAGAGAGAGAGAGAGAGAGAGAGAGAGAGAGAGCGAGAGAGAGCGAGAGAGAGAGAGCGAGAGAGAGAGAGAGCGAGAGAGAGAGAGAGAGAGAGAGAGAGAGAGAGAGGGAGAGAGAGAGAGATTGTGTGTGTGTGAGTGCGTGCGTGTGTGTGTGTGAGTGCGTGCATGTCTGCGTGTGCATGGTGGCGGTGGGGGGGGGGGGGGGGGGGGGGGGTAGATAAAGGGTTCAGTGAATGAGTGTTCAAAAATAGAAGCAAGACAAAGGTTGAGAATGTTATAGTGTTTTGACATCCGCCGGAAAGGTAGAGAATACAAGGATAGCCGTATTTCCGCGGTTTCACCGCAGCAGAGTCTAAGCCGTATTCCTCTCAACGGACCCACAAATTATTTGTTTGTTGACATTCGGTATAAAAACTGCCTACTTGACTTTGATTTTTTGCCTACCATAATGGGTCTAAGCCGCAGGGGCCATTTTGATTTTTTTACGCATCTTAAAGACTGGCTAACACCCAGTACAATACACCGGCATGAAGTCCGCATCGAGCAGGGGGGGGGGGGGGGGCTAAAATCCCCTCCCCACTAAAAATGTCGACCTCCTGTCGCGGACATGGAAATCCAGTCGATTGACCGGGGCCGGCGCCCTCGGGGCGTACAGAACATAAGCCGTTGCATGCAGTGCACAATCAAGTTGATCCGATGCGACCAGCAGCTAGGAGCGCATAATAATCCGTGCTACGGCTGCATGGCCAGCGCCCTGGGGACGCTAGACGTGCGACCGGATTTCCATGTCCACGACAGTAGGTTCAGCATGCACATATTGACCATGAATGACATGCACCAGCTATCGTACCCATATGCGGCCGTGCACCCTCTCCCCCCCCCTCCCCTGAAAGGGAGACCAGCTGCCCCTGACACAGTATAAAAAGAAGGACAAAAAGACGCGGAATAATTGGTATAACTTACAGCTACGGGAAAGCGAGAAGCTCTGTCAACTCCACTCTCACTCTTCTGTACTGCCTTGATCAAAGTTCTTGTTTTCCTGCATAGCATGGCAACAATGCACCCACACAAGCTCGCGGAGCAGCAATCCGCGTACACACACTCACATTCCCGTTCCCCCGCATAGGAGACGGGAACGGGAACCAACACACACACACACACACACACACACACACACACACACACACACACACACACACACACACACACACACACACACACACACACACACACACACACACACACACACACACACACACACACACACACACACACACACACACACACACACACACACACACACACACACACACACACACACACACACACACACACACACACACACACACACACACACACACACACACACACACACACACACACACACACACACACACACACACACACACACACACACACACACACACACACACACACACACACACACACACACACACACACACACACACACACACACACACACACACACACACACACACACACACACACACACACACACACACACACACACACACACACACACACACACACACACACACACACACACACACACACACACACACACACACACACACACACACACACACACACACACACACACACACACACACACACACACACACACACACACACACACACACACACACACACACACACACACACACACACACACACACACACACACACACACACACACACACACACACACACACACACACACACACACAGAAACACAAGCAAGGTTAACGCCTTGTGTCCTCACTGACCACTCACACAGTTTCATTGTTGTGTAAGCAGAAATAGACTTGACAATGTTTGTATCTCGGGAAACATCTTGCTCTCAGACAAGAAATGGTGGTCAGAGCACACCTGGCAGAATGTCACCAGGCACACGGTCTTTTTCTCAGCTACACAAATCCGAGATTAGTCACAGCAGGGCCAGCACGATATCAATTCCAGTGTACAAGGACAATGTCAATATACTGCATTGCCTTCAAAATTGCGTTTCCCAGCGCCATTTTGCCAATATTGTTCCGCAAACACACCAGCTATTGTCTTCATACAAGCCTAGCTGACTTGACATCATGCAAGCAGCAGTCACACATGCACTGCATGGGGGAGAAGAGGGGAATTCCCCCAAAAAACTGCCCATTCAGAGCAAGAGATAATTAGCTCTAGTGTCTCACGGCAGAAGTAACGCGTCTGAGTCGTATATCTTCCGAATGCAACTTCTGAGCAATTTCGACCTCACTTTAGCTGCCAGACGAGTCTTTCTCCCTCTGTCTAGATAATGAGATTGTAGAGATTGGCCCATGTTTCTCAGCCTATACTGCTGT